GGAAGAGAACTAATACATTATCCTGAACTTGCTTTGCAGCAAAAGCCTGTTGTGTCTTTTTGTTTTTTCAGAAACATTTATTTATTTATTTATGGCTGGGTCTTCATTGCTGCGCTTGGGCTTTCTCTAGTTGTGGCAGAGAGGGGGATACCTCTCTATGCTAGCAGGAGGGGGCTACGCTTTGTCATGGTGTGTGGGCTTCTCACTATGGTTGCTTCTTTTGTTGTGGAGCGAGGGCTCCAGGTACATGGGCTTCGGGAGTTATGGAGCCCAGGCTTAGCTGCTCCACGGCATGTGGAACCTTCTCAGACTAGGGATCAAAACTGTGTCCCCTACATTGGCAGGTGAATTCTTAACCATTAGATCACTACAGAAGTCGGTGATGTGTTTCTTTAAACCTTTCCCCTTGAGCAGACAATCTAGCCCTATTCTGACTGCCAAACAAGGCAGAATGACTCTTGGTGGAAACAGAAAAAACAAGAAAGAAAAGTTTAAAATTTATTTTTCTTGGACGGGTAAATAAAAATCTATATTTTAAACAAACATCTGACTTCATCTAAACTTCTCATCTGACAGATTAAAATTCATTTACCATTCAAATAATTATTTCTTGAGTACCTACTGTTCCATTCTTTCAGGTGTTAGGGATATAGTAGTGAACAAAACAACGAAAATCTCTGTCCTTACAAGACTCACCATTTGTGGAAGCTGAGGCCCCCAAAAGCTTAATTAAATGTCCTATAGCCTAAGTCTTGGGATAAGCTAAAAGCAAGTTCTGAGCTTCTCATCCTTCTTCTACTCAAAGTAGATAACTAAACAAAGACGGCTAATCCTAGGCTCACTCCCTACCACACAACTGATGGGCAGATTTACTCAGAATAAGCATGCTCTTCAGGCATTACCATCAAAGTCATCTCCAAAGATCACTCAGGCTTTCTTCTGGGAGCCGTCCTCTCTGCCTGCCATCCACCTTCAGCTGGAAAGCACAGCACCAGCTGACTCATCCTTCTCCCTCAACCCTGCCCAACGTGTGAGCTCCTAATTCCGACAGATTATTTCCCTGCATCATCTTTCAATTTTATTTCATTTTCATCACTATAGTCTATATAGGCCACCTTTACCTCTCAAGGGAATTTACTGTCTTCATTGGTCTCCATACTGGCTGCTAGGTTATTATCACCTTACAAGTCAAAAGATTCCTAAAGCAAAGTTTTGCTCTAACCACTCTTCAGTTTGAAACTCTAGTACCTATTCTCTACTGAAATTAAATACTAACTCTCCAACAGCCTCATATTTTAGGAGATTTATCCAATGGCTCCAAGCTATTTCCCTAGCCTTGTCTCCTTTATTCACAGAATATATTTTAGCAAAATGGAACTAGATAATTCACTGTTGCTCATATTTTCTTTTTGCTTGGAATGCCTCTTTCATTTCTACCCAGTTCTTTCAAGAGCCTTTCAAGTGCAGCTTCTTTCATCAAATTCTTTGTCATGCTCAGACCAGATGAAAAGTCTTCTTCTTCCAATCCCTGGAGATAAATCATTCATTTTCCCTTGTGTTGTAAGTCATCTGGCTACTTGTTATAAGTCATCTGCTTGTCAGTTCTGTTAGGACAAGGACTCCCTACATATTTTGGTATCTGCAGAACATACTTTCTCATAGAAAGTCTTCTGTTAGATTACTAAGTCAAAATTGCTAAAAAAAAAAAAAAAAAAGGTTAGCTGTCCCTAAAGTAAATACCTTCAATCTCTCTCAAGGAGAGATTTTTTTCTTCTTTTGCTGATTTCAAAACTTGAAAAGAATTAGTCTTAAAAAAAAAAAAAAAAAGCATAAGGAAACAGCCCTAAAGATGGAACAAAAGCAATGGGGCCACACACTAAGACACGGTGTAAAGGTTGAACAGACACTAGAAATCCATTTACCCACAGTGCAGAGGGAATTCTACCCAGCAAGAATTCAGAATTCTGCTGGAAAGGAGATATAAATGTGCACTGACATGGGAAATTTCTTAGCAGACAGGGGACATGAAAAACCCTACAAGAAAAAAAAAATCACACAGGTTTTTAAGACTCAACTCTACAAAAAGAAGGTTCCTGTATTGTACAGGAGATCTAATTACATAATCTGGTTTAATGACCTTTCACTTAAAGTACACTGAAATTCACTGTACTTTTTACTCAGACACTAGGTATGACCTCATATTCCATCCTGGCAATGTAGGTTTTCAACCACCTCTTTTACCTATACCTTTAAAATTCATTCAAAGGAGCAACGTTAATTATGAATTCACTGAAGCAGAAATGACAAGGGGAACTAAAGGAAACACATATATTAGTTTTCAAATATTCTAAAAACACAAGCAGGCAGATATGTTATGCCTTCCCTGACTAACATTTTTTAATTTCTTTCATACCTTTACTATTTAAATGTATTTTTCATTATAAGGTAACATAACTTCATTATAGCATAGTTTGGAAAAATATTACCCACAGCACTGTGACTTCCAACCATACGCCTCTTAATATTTTGGTATTATCTCCTCCAATTGTGGAGAAGGAAATGGCAACCCACTCCAGTATTCTGGCCTAGAGAATCCTGTGGACAGAGGAGCCTGGTGGGCTGCTGTCCACAGGGTCGCACAGAGTCGGACACGACTGAAGCGACTTAGCATGCATGCATGCATTGGAGAAGGAAATGGCAACCCACTCCAGTATTCCTGCCTGGAGAATCCCAGGGACAGAGGAGCTTGGTGGGCTGCTGTCTAAGGGGTCACACAGAGTTGGACACGACTGAAGCGACTTAGCAGCAGCAGCAGCCTCCAACTGACTTCCTCATTTTCTTTTCCCCTGAAGGGAATCATGAAGTATTTTTAATTTTATACTGTGATTTCTTTACGATACAACCATAAAACCTTTTCAGGTTGTTGTAAGTTTTCCTAAATATTTTTTTAAGTGGCTAGACAATATTCCACTGAATAAATGCATTACAATTCATTTTGTTACAACCCAGTTTATTTGATAAAAGATTAGAGCAGATCTGTAACCATTCTCTTATAATTGGATATGTGGATCATTTCTAAAACTCTGCTAGAAATGGCATTGTGGCAGTTTATCTTGAATTGTTTTATTATAATTGATTCTAAGAAGTAAAATTATTCTTTCAGAGAGGTTTATAACTTTATCAATTACTTTCTAGGGAATTTGTAACAATTTGCAAAGTCAAGAGCAATGTATAAGAATGTCAGTTGAACTGTGCACTCTACACACTTTTACTTTTATTGTTTAAAAAGAAAAAAGGCTTTTTGGCTATACTGGGCAACATATGGGATCCTACTTCCCGGACCAGGGACTGAACCTGTGCCCACTGCATTGGGAGCTCAGAGTCTTAACCAGTGGACCACCAAGAAAGTTCAATATTTTTTAAAGAGTAGTAAGGGAGAACTGTGGAGAAGGCAATGGCACCCCACTCCAGTACTCTTGCCTGGAAAATCCCATGGACGGCGGAGCCTGGTAGGCTGCAGTCCATGGGGTCACGAAGAGTCAGACACAACTGAGCGACTTCATTTTCACTTTTCACTTTCATGCCTTGGAGAAGGAAATGGCAACCCACTCCACGGTTCTTGCCTGGAGAATCCCAGGGACGGCGGAGCCTGGTGGGCTGCCGTCTATGGGGTCACATAGAGTAGACACGACTGAAGCGACTTAGCAGCAGCAGCAGCAGCAGCAGGGGAGAACTGCAGAAGTCAACAGTACTTTGCTGTCAGATCACAAGTTACTCAAAAGAGAATCACTAGCCAAGTACTCTGATTAAAGTCTCTAACTCTAGATCCAACTAGTGGATAGTTTGCTAAATCTCATCTTTTTTGCCAATCTACTCTCTCCTTTAGTCACTAATATGTAGAATTCTTTCCTTTATACGTTTTTTCTTACCCAACATGCCACATATTTTGCCAAAAGTATGTACTTAGTGGTGAGTCTATCTGTATCTGTGTATGTACTTCACTGTATGTATGTATGTATGTGCGTGTGTATATACCTCAATATAGTACTTTTTTGTTTTTGTTTTGTTTTGGAGGGGGCACCTGGATTCTACATACTATTTTTAACCTACATACTTTCACAGGTACATCTGTGAGAGAAGTGATTTTTGCATTTTATTGTAAAAATGTCTGTGAATATAAAACACTGAAGTCAGGGATAAAGGTAAACAAGCTAATTTGATAGGTGATGATTATGTGCATGTACCTATTTATTATTCAGTGCTTCTTATTTATCAAGGTACTGATTTTTCTCTTAACAATACATATGTCATAAGGATTTATCATATTTACTTCTCAATCAGTTATCCCTTTCTTTAATGCTGTCAAATTTGATTTTTTTTTTTTTTTGGTGTGTTTGCCTCCTCTGTGTTTAGGTTAAGAGAAACCTCTCATTTAACCACTAATTTCCCAAACCATGAACACTGAAGGACAGATGACATTGCCTTCTCTGGAATGGTCTAAAGCAAAGCTGTGTCTTCACTACAGGCCCAGATTCTGGCAGGCTATAAAATTAACCTGGACACAAGGTCAGAGGTGGGGTAGAGGTGCCAGTTCACACCTACATCATCTGGAAGTCCAAATTACTCACCCTTCTTAATCACCAAGAAAAAACTAGCTGGGGTGAGAGCTCCACACTGGACTACAGATGAGACCCAAGGTGGGTTACCTGTCTATCCATCCAGTATCTTTGAAACTGTGGAAAACTGTCCACTTCAGCCAATAGGTTCTGACAGGCCCTGCTTCTCTAGTGTGGATGCTTCATGTAAGACATCTGGCCACATCTCAGTGGGCTTACACAACCGTGAGGGATGCTGGAATGCTGTACCACAACTGTGAGTAACAGTAAGCCCTTTATCTTTCATTTTAGTATACACACTTAAGACAGAAGCTAAAGAATTTGGGTTTTAATATTAGTCATGAAGAAGTGGGATTTCTGAAATAATAAAGGTCCAACACATACCTGGTTTCGTAGAGGCTGTTGTGATGGCCGATCCCTGTGTGTGTGGCTTTCTCGAGTTATGGCAGATGCACCAGAATCTACATGAACTGACCCTACCGGAGTGGGCTGGAAAAATGTAACAAAAAGTCAATTGGGGAAAATAGGTCCAACTTAATACTCTGCAAAGGACAGCATCATTCTAATTCTAACAGAATAGTTGTCATTATTATTACTATTATCATTACAACCAAGGCCAGTTTCAAATCTTGCCTTCTCAGTTTGCTTATCTACAAAAGGGAGACAGTTTGGTCCTCAATAGTTCATTGGAGAGGAGCACGTCTTTGAAAAGAATAAGAACATCCCACAGTGACGACTGTTAGCATTCCCTCAAGTCTTGGTCTGTAGACCATAACAGCAAATTCAGAAGTTTCCTCAGGCATTGGGCTCCAGTCCGACAGAAGTCAGGTACCTTAACAGCTTATGGAGTACCAGCTCCTGGATCATTCAAACTAAATTTCTTCTTAAAAACTGACTTGGGACTTGTTTGGTGATTAAGAATCTGCATGTCAAACAGGGGACACAGGCTCAATCCCTGGTCTGGGAACTAAGATCCCGCACACCGTGAGGCAACTAAGCCCTTGCACCACAACTTTGAGCCCATGTGCCCTAAAGCTCATGCTTCACAACAAGAGAAGTCACTGCAATGGGACGCCCATGCATCGCAATGGAGCGTAGCTCCCGCTCTCCACAACTAGAGAAAGCCTGCACACAGCAAGAAGACCCAGCACAGCCAAAAATAAATAATTTTTAAAAATCTGACTTAAATTCTGGTATCTTAGGTCACAGTGGTCATAGTCTTAAAAACACGGCAGAAGTAACTCCTTTACTGCTCTAGTGACAGCAATCTATGGCATCACCCTGAAAAGGCTGGTAAATGGAAAGTCTACAAAGGAATGCTTTTTTCCCACAGACATAGGCAGAAAGGCTGGCAAGGGGTGAGACAGTGCTGGTCTGAGGGGAGGGGGGAGAAATAAGATACTTACAATAGGCCTCCCAACCCAATCATACGCGTAGTCAAAGGTGTAGCCTTTCCTTTCAAAGAGGTCTGTGAAGAGCGTCCGTAAATACTCATAGTCAGGTTTTTCAAAGAAGTCTAATCGCCTGACATATCGCAGGTAGGTTGCCATCTCCTCTGTTAGGAAAGAGGTTAAAGGCCATGCTTGTTAGCTGAATGCTTCCCATGGGGAGAAGCTCGGGACCAGGCAAGGAGTACCTGCACAGGCTATATTTGCCACTGATGTGCTTTGTTTTGTTTTATGGACCAAATCAAAGTGAAAAAATCTATCTTGATTTAAATAACAATAAGAGAAAATGTAAATTTTTTGGAGAGGACCCTTATCTAGAGATACTAAGTAAGACATGGTTTCCACCTCCTTCAAAGCTCCAGTAGCACTTGGCTGGAGGGTCCTGTTGGCATCCTACCTGGGAAGTTTTCACAGAGAGCTTCAATGGGAGTATTCCTTTTGGTGTCACCAATTTTTTGATATCTTTCTTTTAAGGTATCAGCCTGTAGAGAATAAAGAGAAAAAGTTACTTGGAAAGAGGTGCTAAGTATGGGAGGTCCAATATGTCTGGGGACATTATGACTGTTTCACTCAAACTGTCAGGGTTTATTAGATTGTCTCGATTTTTTTCTAATACTGACAAATAAGAAATGTACTAGAGATGATACATTTAGACATGCACAGAACATCTGCTGTTCTGGAAAGCTTTACTGGCAAATATATTTAGTAGTCTCAGATAAACACCATCAAATGTAATGGCATGAGAGACTAGGGTAAGAAAATAAATTCAAAACTGTAACAGCTTAGTAATGTCCCATGGCCACTAGGGTTCAAAAACGATTCAACCTTCTCATTCTTTGATCAGCTCTAGAAAAGATTAAAAATATTGCTAACCCATATGAGTGTACCTATGGCTGATTCCTGTTGACGTATGACAGAAAGCCAGAAAATTCTGTAAAACGATTACCTTCAATTAAAAAAAAAAAAAGAAAAAAAATATTGCTAATCCAAATGGGGGCAAGTAGATAGAAAACTTAGCTATGATACAGGCGTGGCTAACAGACAGGTTTGCTGTATGTCAGTGGCTCAAAGTAGTAAGTCTGGCTTGCTTAAGACTGCAGACAGAGGGCTTCTGGAGCGTGGACCAATAATGTGGCCTCAAGGGATCTGCATGAGGCTCTACCTAGCCTGCTGACCCCAGCTTTAAGCAATTACATTTTTAAGTTATGCTGGTGACATTTTAAATCTACAACTACCCTAAAATGATTCACGGGTCATGAGAAAATTTCAAGCAATTAATAATACAAGAATGCATTGCTTGGCTGTATGATGAGCAAATAGGATGTGAAACTCTATTTGACAACTGTCAATATCAATGAGAAGGCATGCAACTAGGATAAGACCATGGAAGAGATGTTAGGAGAGGAATTTAAAGGGAAAGCAATAAAATCCTCCCAAAGGAAAGGGATAAGAGCCTCATTTTTCAGCACAAATGTCCAAGAAAGCACAGCAAAATGAATCCTTCAGGCCTCTGGGAGGGAGGGAGGGAGGGAGGGAGGGACTGTATGGTACCCAAAGCTACTGATAAAGTTTCTTTCCATACTAACATGTTGAAGTAAATTACAACTCAAACAAGTCTTGCATTAGCTATCTAATGGGTCTTAGAATGGGTAAGAAGCTCACCATTTCCTAGTCCATGCAGCTAGAGACACAGGGTAATCATTACAATGGTTGTAACTATAATTAATAGCTAACCCTGACACAAATGCACTGTATTGACACCTACCTAAGGAAGGGTATTTAAACTATCCATTTCACAAGGAATAGCTATTGTATGCATAGGCATTTATTCAATAAAACACCTGAATAGCAATATTAAACCTGGAGTTTTATTTAGTTCAGGTGGGTTCTTGGCCTATAAAGGACAAACATGTATTTCCCAGTTCCCGTTACGGGTACATCTAACCCTACTGGCCTTGCGGTAAAATGTGTAGAAGTTGCTGTCATCAATCTGTTCCATAAATTCCCCAATGCACTGGGAACACTATTCCTGCTACACAGTGGTAGTGAAGAAGGAATATCAACACAGAGAGAAAAGCAGCACTGGCAAAGCTGGGAGGGGATGAGGGAAGAAATTACTAACACAAGGAAGAAGGATTCGGAAGGGGAAGAAGACAAATGTGGGGAAAATAAAGCTTCCCAAGCCCAGGTGAGTATTAACATTACAGACTAATGTTGTTCCTGCCTCACATCTCTGGAGCTGATTGTCCCCTCTGTGCTTCTTATAGCATTAAGTCAGCCACCCCTTTCATTATCAGCTAAGTATTTCAGCAAAGCCCTCCACTAAGCACTTCCAAGGATACCTTGAGTCCTTGCCAGGGAAGGCTGCCTCGAAGGAAATACATGAACATATGGCCCAGGGCTTCCAAATCATCGCGCCGGCTCTGCTCTAAAAGGAAAGACAGATCACATGTTATGTTTGCAGTTGTTAAAGCAGAAAGGGGTGCAAACCCAAGTAATCCCTTCAAAAACCTGTCTTCTCTGGAAAGGCTCTGCTTACTAATCCTCTGTATATCTAAATCAGGGGTGGTATTTTAGATCAAAACCAAAAACAGCATGTACTTCCTTTGCTTAGATCTGTTACTGGCAAGTAAATACCAAGTGAAAAGAGCAAGTCTAAACCAAAACCCAGTCCAAATCACTGAACAGTGAGTAACTACTCACTCGATGCTGTCACCTTCCTGAAAGTAAGATACTTCCTGAAAGTAAGAAATAACAAATGCTATTTCTAGTGCATGGGCTACAACTGCTCTTTGGTTACCATTGTGAAAAGTGAGCAGCAGATGGAGCAGCTGAAAACAGTCCATTCTGGCTAGGCCTGCAAAGACACAAGCTGCAGAATGCCTAGCATACGTGTGTGTGTATGTGTGTGTGTGTGTGTGTGTGTGCAAAGACACAAGCTGCAGAATGCCTAGCATACGTGTGTGTGTGTACGTGTGTGTGTGTGTGTGTGTGTGTCGCTCAGTCATGTCTGACTTTTTGCAATCCCACGAACTGTAGCTCACCAGGTTCCTCTGTCCATGGGACTTCCCAAACAAGAGTACTGAAGTGGGTCGCCATTCCCTTCTCCAGGGGATCTTTCCGATCCAGGGATCAAACCCAGGTCTCTCACATTGCAGGCAGATTCTCTACTATCTGAGCCACCAGAGAAGCCCAGCATACATGTCTAGTGCTTTTTATTCATTTGACACTTAAAATTAAGTTTAATCTAAGTGATCATCAAGGCATATTCCTTAGCTCCGTTCCATTTGTACCACAGCCACCGTAAGAAAGACCTAAAATGTATTACTAAGGAGCCCTTTATGGGCACATAAACCAGTATCCTTGCATTCAGGGAGCTTAGAATGTAAAACAAGTTGCTGGATTTTGCTTTCTTTTCTTTAAATTGGGATGATAAGGATGATAAAGAACTGCAGAATAGTTAATTAAAAAACTGTAACTACATCTCAGAAAACATCCTATACATTCTTTGGCTGTCAGGCAACAGAAGTAGCACATTCTTCCACTTTTAATTTGCCAATTATAATTCATCTCAGACATTTTATGTGTTTATTTTTCAGAATCAAGTTCGGGGCTTTATCAAAAGAAATGAGAGATGTAAAAATAAGGGGCTACCTTGACTTTTGTCTTCTTTGTGTAGAAAGTAAAACCCAACAGAATCAGGGAGGCAGGAAAAGCTTCTCAGGTAACTCAAAATACAAAAGCACAATACTTTAACTGTCGCCTCTATCATAGGAAATTTGCATGGAAAAGAGTGAATAGTACTCTACAGTGTAGATGAAGAAAGAAAAGGCAACTTTACAGACTGTACTTTGAAGGCAGTTTTTGGAAATAAGGTCACTTAACGCGAAGGGGCAGCACCCTGACAAGAGACGTAAATAAAATAAAACCGAGCTGATTCACAGCAATCCAAACAACCCTTAAAAGAACGGAGTCAGACAGCAAGGCCACCAGAAGCTCCTGACTGCGGACTTTGTTAACAGATTCTGTTAACAGAGCCTGTAGGTGCACAAAAAGAGAAAGACCCAGCAGGGTGAACTGGGGCCTCCCACAAAGCAGGGCAGACAGAGAAACCACGCTCTGCAGGCTCTCACACTGTATCAAACCTACTCATCGCCTCTGTTCTTACATCTACTTCCTGTAAGGAGGCCCCCTTAATAATAAAAAAGAAAATTCAGGGACAAATGGTTGTATTTTAGCTGGTTGAGCACTAGAGGGCGAAACTCCCCACATTTTGAGTAATTGTTCAGACTCCAGAAATGAGCCCAACTTTTCTTCATAGCAAAACCCATTATAAAATGAGATTTAAAAAAAAAAAATTAACCCCCTTTAAAATAAACTAAACACATTTAAACTCACCAGAATGAGTAATAAAATAACTTTTCAAATACTGAAAATCATGAAAAAAAAAAAGCTGTGGGATATGGGATGGTAAGAAAAATAATGGTTCCTAAGGTTATCTAGGTCTTGGCCTATTCCTTCCCATTAGTTTATTAATCTATGCAAAATCAAGCATGGCCAAGTCACCTTTTGGGTCTCAGTTTCCTCATGTGAAAACAAACTAATTGATTTAGATACTATGAACAGTCATTTTCCACCTCTAAAATTCAAAGATAATCTATGATAAATTAAACCATCATGCCTGTGCTTAGTTGCATCTGACTCTTTGCAACCCTGTGGACTGTAACCCACCAGGCTTCTCTGTCCATGGGATTTCCCAGGCAAGAGTACTGGAGTGGGTTGCCATTTCCTCCTTCAGGGAATCTTCCCAGCCCAGGGATCGAACCCATGGCTCCTGCATTGGCAGGTGGATTCTTTATGACTGAGCCATCTGCTGCTGCTGCTAAGTCGCTTCAGTCGTGTCTGACTCTGTGTGACCCCTTAGACGGCAGCCCACCAGGCTCCGCCATCCCTGGGATTCTCCAGGTAAGAACACTGGAGTGGGTTGCCATTTCCTTCTCCAGTGCATGAAAGTGAAAAGTGAAAGTGAAGTCGCTCAGTCGTGTCCGACTGTTCACGACCCCACGGACTGCACCCTACCAGGCTCCTCCGTCCATGGGCTTTTCCAGGCAAGAGTACTGGAGTGGGTTGCCACTGCCTTCTCCAACTGAGGCATCTGGGAAGCCCCAATTTAAATCATAAACGTCTTTTAAAAAATGAGAATGAAAAACAGAGCCAGGCTTTATTTCCATATTTCTTTGAACACTCCACATTCGTTCAATTCAGTATTTCCCAATACCCTTGTTTTTTCATGAAGGTTATTTTTATTTTCAAAGAAGTAAGGCTTCAATACCAGTGAGACCAGGAGGACACAAATTCATCCACATCACAAAGGCTTCATCCACATCATATTCATCCATATCATAAAGGGCCACACAAGACAGACAGGTCATAGTGGAGAGTTCTGACAAAACGTGGTCCCCTGGAGAAGGGAATGGCAAACCACTTCAGTATTCTTGCCTTGAGAACCCCATGAACAGCATGAAAAGGCAAAAAGACAGTACACTGAAACATGAACTCCCCAGGTCAGTAGGTGCCCAGTATGATACCGGAGATCAGCAGAGAAATAACTCCAGAAAGAATGAAGAGATGGAGCCAAAGCAAAAGCAACACCCAGTTGTGGATGTGACTGGTATGTTGTGAAGAGCAATGGTGCATAGGAACCTGGAATGTTGGGTCCATCAATCCAGGCAAATTGGAAGTGGTCAAACAGGAGATGGCAAGAGTGAACATTTTAGGAATCAGCGAACTAAAATGACTGGATTGGGTGAATTTAACTCACATTGACCATTATATCTACTACTGTGGGCAAGAATCCCTTAGAAGAAAGGGAGTAACCATTACAGTCAACAAAAGAGTCTGAAATGCAGTACTTGGATGCCATCTCAAAAATGACAGAATGATCTCTGTTCGTTTTCAAGGCAAACCATTCAATATCACAGTAATCTAAGTCTATGCCCCGACCAGTAATGCTGAAGAAGCTGAAGTGAATGGTTCTATGAAGACCTACAAGACCTTCTAGAATTAACACCCAAAAAAGATGCTCATTATAGGGGACTAGAATGCAAAAGTAGGAAGTCAAGAGATACCTGGAATAACAGGCAAATTTGGCCATGGAGTACAGAATGAAGCAGGCTAAAGGCTAACAGAGTTTTGCCAAGAGAATGCACTGGTCATAGCAAATACCCTCTTCCAACAACACAAGAGAAGACTCTACACATGGGCATCACCAGATAGTCAATACCAAAATCAGATTGCTTACATTCTTTGTAGCCAAAGATGGAGAAGCTCTGTACAGTCAGTGAAAATAAGACCGGGAGCTGACTGTGGCACAGATCATGAACTCCTTATTGCCAAATTCAGACTTAAACTGAAGAAGGTAGGGAAAACCACTAGACCATTCAGGTATGACCTAAATCAAACCCCTAACAATTATACAGTGGAAGTGAGAAATAGATCTAAGGGACTAGATCTGATAGAGTGCCTGAAGAACTATGGACGGAGGTTCATATGACACTGTACAGGAGACAGGGAGCAAGACCATTCCCAAGAAAAAGAAATGCAAAAAAGCAAAGAGGTCTTACAAATAGCTGTGAGAAGAAGAGAAGCAAAGAGCAAAGGAGAAAAGGAAAGATATATCCATTTGAATGCAGAGTTCCAAAGAATAGCATGGAGGGATAAGAAAGCCTTCCTCAGTGATCAGTGCAGAGAAAGAGAGAAAACCCATAGAATGGACAAGACTAGAGATCTCTTCAAGAAAATCAGAGATACAAAGGGAACATTTCATGCAAAGATGGGCACAATATAGGACAGAAATGGTACGGACCTAACAGAAGCAGAAGATATTAAGAAGAGGTGGCAAGAATACACAGAAGAACTATACAAAAAAGATCTTCATGACCCAGATAACTATGATGGTGTGATCACTCACCTAGAACCAGACATCCTGGAATGCAAAGTCAAGTGGGCCTTAGGAAACATCACTGCAAAGTTAGTGGAGGTGATGGAATTCCAGTTGAGCTATTTCAAATCCTAAAAGATGATGCTGTGAAAGTGCTGCACTCAATATGCCAGCAAATATGGAAAACTCAGCAGTGGCCACAGGAAGGGAAAAGGTCAGTGTTTATTCCAATCCCTAAGAAAGGCAATGCCAAAGAAAGCTCAAACTACTGCACAATTGCACTCATCTCACACGCTAGTAAAATAATGCTCAAAATTCTCCAAGCCAGGATTCAACAGTATGTGAACCATTAACCTCCAGATGTTCAAGCTCGATTTAGAAAAGGCAGAGGAACCAGAGATCAAATTGCCAACATCTGCTGGATCATTGAAAAAGCACCAGAGTTCTAGAAAAACATCTGCTTTATTGACTGTGTGGACCACAACAAACTGTGGAAAATTCTGAAAGAGATAGGACTATCGGACCAACTGCCCTGCCTCCTGAGAAATCTGCATGCAGGTTAGGAAGCAACAGTCAGAACTGGACGTGGAACAACAGAGTAGTTCCAAATCAGGAAAGGAATGCGTCAAGGATTTATACTGTCACCCTGCTTATTTAACTTATATGCTGAGTACATCATGCGAAACGTGAGGCTAGATGAAGCACAAGCTGGAGTCAAGATGGCCGGGAGAAATATCAATAATCTCAGATATGAACATGACACCACCCTTATGGCAGAAAGCGAAGAAGAACTAAAGAGCCTCTTGATGAGTGAAAAAGTTGGCTTAAAACTCAATATTCAGAAAACTAAGATCATGGTATCTGGTCCCATCACTTCATAGCAAATAGACAGAGAAACAGTGGAAACAGTGAGAGACTTTAATTTTTTTTTTTTGGGGGGGGGGGCTCCAAAATCACTACAGATGGTGACTGCAGCCATGAAATTAAAAGATGCTTACAAAAAAATAAAAAATAAATAAAAGACGCTTGCTCCTTGAAAGAAAAGTTATGACCAACCTAGACTGCATATTAAAAAACAGAGACATTACTTTGCCAACAAAGGTCTGTCTAGTCAAAGCTATGGTTTTTCTAGTACTCATGTATGGATGTGAGAGTTGGACTGTGAAGAAAGCTGAGCGGTGAAGAATTGATGCTTTTGAACTGTGGTGTTGGAGGACTCTTGAGAGTCCCTTGGACTGCAGGGAGATCCAACCAGTCCATCCTAAAGGAATCAGCCCTGAATATTCATTGGAAGGACTGATGCTGAAGCTGAAACTCCAATACTTTGGTACCCTGATGCGAAGAGCTGACTCATTTGAAAAGACCCTGATGCTGGGAAAGATTGAAGGCGGGAGGAGAAGGGGATGACAGAGGATGAGATGGTTGGATGGCATTACTGACTCAATGGACATGAGTTTGAGTAAACTCTGGGAGTTGGCGACGGACAGGGAGGCCTGGAGTGCTGCAGTCCATGGGGTCGCAAAGAGCTGGACATGACTGAGTGACTGAACTGAACTGATAAAGGGTTCCTTTCAACCAATCAGAAAGATGTGCTTGGTTTACCTGCATCGCAAGCTTGATTTTAGGTCAAATATATTTCGTTGAAGGAAAGGAGCCAGATGACCTGTCCTCACCCCAACTTCAAATATTAAGGAATATAAAATGGGCAAGTTTAATCAGTGGGAAGATGACTAATCTAATGTAGTAAGTGTCAGGTTTAGTGCTTCCCTTGTTTTGTGCCCTCGCAAAATTAATAGGCAATTCTCTTCAGTTCAATTTGAAAAGATACACTTCTTTTTTCCATTACAACATAAAAGAAGCTACACTTTTTTTTTTTTTAAAGAAGTTACACATTTGAAAACCAATAGGATTAGAGTTCCTACAGAAACCTCTCTGAGTTTGAGCCCATGGCCAGAGAGTTTAAAAGGCATGTGACAACCACCAATATGTATTCTCTATAATGGGGACAAATCAGACAAATCAGACAAATATGTGACAGGCTCAATCTGACCTGGAAAAAACCCTGGAACTCAGGAAGTCCACATGTGGAGCTAAACTCAAAAATTCCAGCAGAAATAGCTACACCGAGAGATAGAGGAACCCAATCTGATAAAAGTAGATGCTTAAAACATATTTTGTTGAATAAATGGCAATTACCATTACACAGTCTTTAGTATTATTAAGCAATATCCTAAACAGTTTATATACATTATCTCACAGAACCCTATGCTATAAGGTACTATTAACATAAACATTTCAAGGCAGATGAGATAACTGATGGTGAGAGAGGAAGGTTATTGGCCCATACAAGTTTATTTTAAAGAGCCTGAATTTACATCCCCTTTTCTTAACTATTACATTGTACCTTATACAAACAACACGGAATACACATTTCTTATCTGTTCTTGCTTTTCCTGATAAGAATAATAAAATCAGAACACAAATGCTGAGCCCAGGAACAACTTCTAGACTGTCAGTTAAACCAAACGATCATGACTTTACTATGTACCACAGTCTCTCTCTTTGTGAAAAGGAAGGAAGAAGGGAATTCTGAGCACTCTGCAACAGAACCGTGTTACACACATTATCACTCATTCAACCTGCAACACATCCTTGTGAAATATTACTCTATATTTACAGGTCAGTTTCAGGGACAAGTTTTGGACAAGTTTGATACTTGTCCAAAGTGTCACCAATAAAAAGTGGCAGAGAACCTTCCAGTCTAATTTTAAACTATTATATTTAGTTAAGTGAGAATATCCAGGTAGTTACCAAAAAAATCCTGACAGCATTCATTTCAACTTAGGTTGTACCATACCACTTGGTAATGTCATTTTTATTCTTCACTAGAACCCTCACCTCAATCTCTGACTAGTGTACTCAATGAGGCAACTTTGTAGCTGCTGCTTACATTAGTCTTTAAAATACTTATTATGTAAATAATTCATTAATATTTAAACACCTTATAAAAAGAGCTATGTCTAGGAGTCTAATATTCTGTTTATATGTCAACTCTCATATCTTTTCAATCACCTTATTACCTTTTCTTCAAATAGAATCTTCCATGAAAGCCCAATATATAAAACAGACAAAAAGGGAAGCCTTCCTGGAGAAGCTGCTGAGGGCCCAGAGTCCTACCAAAAAAGCCTTCCCACTGTTCCTTACGCTTCTCTCACAAATACTCTCTCTGGACTAGTCTCTCTAACATGGAAGGCCTTCTGCCTTGACTAGAGCTTTTAGCAATATTTGTCCAAATTGTCTATCATGAGTAAAACTCAAGACTCATGGAAAAGCAAATGTATTTTCGCTGAATAAGACACAGGTTTTTCCTGGAAAAATGAGTCATGGAACTATGCACAAAGAAAAGAAGCCTGGTCCATGTTTTAATGAAGTACTCTTCTCCAAAGAAGATCAGCCTGATGGCCTTTTCAGGTTATATAGGGGGCCATGTGTATGTAGCTATCAAACTCATCACTAAACTTACCAAGATGCTATCACCTTAATTTAGTCATTAAAGTACCCAAACTGCTGAGAAAATAAGCATTAGGAAACAAAGAATTAAAAATCCTTAGCTGTCAACAGGATACTGAGAAAGTCACTGACTTACCATCTTAATTTCTCAAGTATAAACATCACTTACCCTGTGAAGCAATAAGAATCACAAGTTGTAATGCACAGTGGGTACAAAAGTGTTTTGGGAATAAAAAGGTGTTTTAACAACCTGCCTCTTTCTTGGAGCTGAAAATAAACACACCTTTGCCAAGATGCGTGTTGATAGACATGTATCTTGCTGTTCCAGTTAAACTTTTGTGTTCCCTATAAGGTATATGTTTTTTGGTTTCAGGGTCAATGTATTCCTTGGCCAGTCCAAAGTCTATAATGTGTATAACATGCTCTTTCTTATTGCCTTGTCGACCGATCAGGAAGTTCTCTGGCTTGACATCTCGGTAGATGAGATTCTTTGAGTGGACATACTCCATTCGGGAAAGCTAAAAGAAAGAATGAGAGTGATACAAATACTATTCTGAAGAAGTTTATTATAAAAATACTTCAAAATGTTTTCTTTTATCAGCTCAAAGTTATAATTACTTAATTACTTAAATTAAAATAAAACTTATTTCTTCACCACTCAGAGTCACTTTATTCTTGTAAATCAGAACATACTTTCTGATACTAATACATACATGACAAATATGAAGATAAAAGAGAAAAGGATAGTGTGGTTCAGCTAAAATGATTAGTATACGGTTTCACTTCACGTAACAACTTGCAAATGATGAACAGAATTAACATTTTTATGTTACTGCAGAAGGAAAGCATTTGAGAGGCAAGAATTACTCCCAGGCAGGAAATAAAATATGGTGGTGGCCTCTGAAGACAGATGCTGCTGCCTCCTTCAGCTCCTGCCCACAACTTCCTATACTCGGTCTCATTGTTGCAGAAATAAGGAAAGTGAGGCCCAGAGAAGTTGACTGGACTAATATCACAGAGCTAACTAATGGCAGAGGTAGGAGTATAGTTTTTATGAGAAAGTAAACATAACCTAAAATAAAAACTTTTATCAAATTTCATTAAGTTCATTTCTACCTTTAAATCGTTTCTGCTTAGTATAGAAAGGGAGGTTGAGCATTAGAACTTTTGACTCTAAAGTCAAGATCAGTTTTCTAACATTTCCAAGTCTTTAAAGTGGGTGAGACCATCACCATTTCAGACCCACAGAGACGCACCTACATCCTTGGGTGGAGGGGCTAACAAACTTCTCAAAGCAACTGTCTTAACTGTTCCTTAAACTGGTATTGGTGTGGGATTTGGTAGGTGCTGAGAGACACAGCTTTAGCTGTGTTGGTCTCTGTGAGAACTAGAGGCCAGAGAACTAAGGCAGGTTCTTGGTCAACTCTGAAATCTGATTTTAGGGCAGTGGGTTATATCTTCCATCTCTCCTTGGATGCGATGGTAAGCAAAGAGGGAGGACATGACAAAACTTTACAGTCATGTGTTTAAAACCTATAAATCAAACAACCAAGAAGTTACTTGCATTTGAGCAACTGTCACCGAATCATCCTCTTTCTCCCTATATACCACTTGCACTTCAGTTAAGGGCAGAGTATTGCTCCAAGGTGCAAATTCTTAAAATAGAGCAAATGGCAAATACAGTGTGACTTCTCGGGGTTAACCCTTTTTGCCCCAGCCAGCTGTCTACACCACCACCAAGCTAGTGAATGTACATTCACAAGGTGTCACTAGAGCTGGTAAATGCCAACAGACACAGGATGTAGTTAGGAGACCTGCCTCTCCCTGTCTATCCCTAGCCAGAAGAGCAACGCCAACTTACCAACTGAATGGCTATCATTAACACAGTCTTCAAAGTAAAGGTCCGGTCACAGAGGTCAAACAAGTCCTCCAAGCTAGGGCCGAGAAGCTCCAGCACCATGGCATTGTACTTCCCACATGGTCCAAAGTAATACACCTGTGGGAGACCTTCACCTGAAAGCAGAGGGAAAATGGGGTGCAGAGGGAGGGACACAAAGACCAAAATATGACACAGCTGCATCAGCATGAAGCAGATAAAAAGGAAATAACAATTTGTGAGATTTTTGTTTTCTTTCATAGCTCCTACCGGAGAACCTAAACTGAGCATGACAGCTTCAAAAGGAACTGGTAATGTGTGGGAAAGGCTAAGTCATTGCACAATATGTTCAAAATAAAGTAGTTATTTCATACCAAAGGCATTCCCATTACTACGTAAGACAGAGAATAGTCCGTGGTCCACTGCTGGACTGGAGCATAAACTATTCTCCACCAAGGATGCCCAAAAGTACACAATCACAATTTTCAAAAAGATGACTCATGAGCTCAAAGGCCAGGCTCACACACCTTGCTGCACTAGCTGGTTTCATCTGTACTCTGTGCTTACTGCCAAAACCACACGGAGATAGAGCTGTTTGTGACTGCTGCTCCGAGGAGGACTCGGACTGAAGGGGTGAGGTGACAGAGGGCGCAGCCTGGTCTTTTTCTCCTAGGGAGTTTCTGTAGCTTCCTGTTTTTTTCTCAGTAGGAGCAAAGTCAACAGACTGGGTTTGGTTACTGATAAGTAATTATGAAAGGAAAAGGAATAAAAATACAAGGCTGGGCTTTCCCCAGATTTGAAATTCATAGTTATAAGAAGCCAAAATTTAGACTTTCTCATCTAAGTGGCAACTTGTGAATGAATTTCCTTCTTAAAGTGTATTGTAAATGAGACATCAATAAATATGTGCTAAACGGCACCATGTGAACTGTGGGTATGAATGAGACTACAGAGCTTTAAAAAATCTGCCCCTTGGAGTGGGAACACTTCCCCCTTAATACACTTATGTATACCGTGGTCTACAGCTATAAATGCTGCAGGTTGCCGCATGCTCCTGCCTGTGAGTTTTTCAGATGACAAGGTTCTCTCCATCTTGACATTCTCTTTTCATTTGTACAGGTAGGAAACTGGCAGAGGTAATTATATCTGCTATGATCTGAACATCTGTGGCCCCTTCCCAAAACTCGTATGTTGAAAACCCAATGCCCAGTGTGATTACTTTAAGAGGTGTGGGCCTCCGGGAGGTGAGATCATGAAAGCAAGGCCTTCATGAGTGGGATTAGTGCCTTTAAGAAAGAGACCCCACAGAGCTCCCTAGCCCCTGCAGCCATGTGAGGACACAGCAGGAAGTTAGCAGTCTGCAACCCAGATGAGGGCCTTCAGCAGAACTTGACCACACTGACATCGTGATCCTGGACTTCCAGCTTCTGGAACTGAGGAAAAAAATTTTTCTGAGTTTATGAGTCACTGTGTGTTGTGTTACAGCAGCCCAAAGGAACTGAGACAACATCTAATCCTTAAAACTTTAACCCAATCAATATGCTCGTCCTTCTCTCCAGCACAGGTCTTGTATATTTACGAATCATTGCTACGATATGCGCCTATAATTATTTTGTGTGCTGCATCAGTCTGTTTTATTCCATTTAAATACTAGACAACTTCTTTTTCAGTGTTTCTATCAGGTCATTCCTGACTCATACCGTCTACTATAGTATACTCTGCTCCGGCTAGCCCCATAAATATCCACTGAATTGCCCTGTGCTTGTTTTGATTCTCCCTTTCCCCAAAAGGAAACAGAATTTGTCTTTTTCTCCCTGTTGTTTGAAGAACTCATCTTCAGTTCATTTAAAATATATAAAACCTAACAGCTGTTCCCAATGAGTCCTGCTGAGAAATCCAAAGCAGAACACTACCATACAGATTTACTGCTTTGATTAATCAGACACATTGTAGACTGTAGTCTGGAGATCTTTTAAATGCTACATCCTATATAATAGTTTTTGATGTGATGAAAATTGATTTTCCTAATATTATATTCTTCAAAATAGGTGGGAGAGATCTGTTGGTTGCCTGCCCAATATCCATTCCCTCTTTCTTTGTTAACAACAAAATATCTAATTCTTATGAACAGCAACTCGCCTAATTATAACCTTCTAGTCTCCCTTGATAATAGGAATGGCAAGTGAGATGTAAGCAGAAATTGTTAGATTGGGTGGTTCTAGAGAAGTTCTTTAAGGGAGCTGACTCAAGTTGGAGGTGTGTGCCTTTGAGATGACTGAAGCTCCAAAAGCCATCTAGAACTATCAGACTCCTTGAAGATTTAAGATACAGATGAAACAAAATTAGAAGAACCCATTCCTGATGGCTGGGAAGCAACCACACCAATGAAAGGCTTCCCTTCCCTCTGGACTTTTTTAATCCAGAAGAAAAATCAATCTCTACCTTGATTGAACTACTGTTCTTTGGAATTCTTTTTAACAACCAAGTGTAATCCTAATTAATAAACATACTACTCCTTTATTTAGTTAAATTGCAAACATAGGGACAATATCTTCCTTCTGAAGTACAAGCTAAAAGTCAGGCCTGTGTAGAAATATGAAACTGGCATGATTTTCTAGACTTGCTGCCAATACTTAAGGATCAATTTAAAAATAAGACAGATGGTCATCTTGTTCTTGACAATCTTTAGTACCAAATCTAGGCATCTCTTGTCAGAAATTTCCATGTTTACCTTTGTAAAGCTTCTTTTAGCCACAAAAGCTTTCTGGGTGATGTCTATAATTTCTAACTGTGAGTAATGTCACTCGTAACTCCTGCCTAGAAATTTCAAAGATGTGAGGAGTTCCTGCTGGCTGTAATATTGCTCCTTTTATTAAATACTTTGAATCTCATAATACCCCATTGGGCTTTGGGATGCTCAAGACAACTTCTGGATTACTGAGCTTTGGCCTTGAAGACTTTTCTCAAAGATGGACTAGGTCCAAGATGCTAGTGTACAAAGAACTCAAGTCAGAGTTGTGGATTTGGTTCTGCTACCAACTCTGAAAATTCTTTCACCTCTCTGCTCTTTCTCATCCATAAAGAGAAGGAAACTGGTTCTCTCTCTCTCGCTCTCTCTCTTTTTCTTTTTGGCTATGCTGTCCAGCATGTGGGATCTTTGTTACCCAACCAGGGATGGAACCTGCGCCCCCCCCGCTTCCCGCCCCCCACCCACCAGGTAGAAGCAGAGTCTTAACCACTGGACCACCAGGGAAGTTCCTAGACTCGTTCTCTTTTAAATCTATAATCCTGATTATAGCTAGGATTTCCTTCTAGCTATCTTACAGGTTTTTCTTTGTAAAGTCATTGAACCACTATAAATGAAACCTGTCTCCATATTATATAGAATATGTGTGGTACAAATTCAAATGTAAGCTGGTAATGGTAACTGGCAGTGGTACTCAACTGAAAGTGTGTCTATCAGAAACACCTCTAAAACTTTAAAAAACAGATACAGTGACGTCACTTCAAACCCTCCAAACCAGAATTTCTAGTAGTGGGTATAAGCATTGTTCCACAGGTAATTCAGAAGTGCAACCTCAGCTGGAAAACTCTGTATCTAGAGGGTAGAAAATAAAGGGCGTTGTTTTGCTTTATGGCTAATATATTATGAAAATTCGGAAAACACTGACAGACTAATCTTTTTCAGAAGCTCTTTCCCATCAGAACAAGTGGACTCAATACCTTTTGAAAGGAATCATTTTAAGGCTATTTGAAAGACTTGTTCTGGAGTTCCTTAGGTATTATTGAGTATAAAAATCTCTTTGGACGATGCAGTTGTAATTTATTAGAACTATCTGTACAGATAAAGATGCCCACACAAGTTTCAGTCTGTGTCTGGTTTTACACATGACTACCCCCAAACTGGCCAGTGCCGGTGGTGAGAGACACAGGCCCACAAGAAAAATCTGCCTCTTTGGTCAGGGACGACTGCACAGTAATGATTTATCACCTGGGCTGTACTTAAATAAGAAATCCTGTATATTAGGTTTCACTCTACTTCTACAGAGCCATCTCTAATCCACTGTTTAAGAAATTTTTAATTAATCAACATTATGGTGTGAAATCCTCTAATAAGACTAGGGATGAGGGCCAAGTCTTAAATGCAATACATGTGGAAAACAAGGTCTTCCTGCACATAATTCTTAGGTAAAGGGAAATGAAGTGGGGGAGGTAGGTAAGGTAGATATGCACTCAATTCTTGGTATTTTAGAAATTAAGGTAGTAGTATGACCTCTTGTCTGCTCTGAAAATAAAAGCACTAATAAGGTCTCCTTCCTAAATTGGTCAGCTGCATAAAAGCTTGAAAATTAAAGAAGTAGATTCCACATTTTCCTCTTCTGAAGGATTTAAAACAGATTTCACTGTATTACCATTAGCCATAGGCTAAATCTCTTCCAAAGCAAAACTTCAAGGCTATTCCCTCATTGCAGATGTTATCACGTATATTCTCTTAGGGAACTATGAAACAGCTTTTCCATCCATCAGTAACATATTCTTATAACCCCTTCTGGACATTTGGCCCACACACATATCAAGTTGCACAGAACAGGAAGCAAGGTATATAACACTACAGCTAATTTTCAATCTGTCATAAATTCAACTTGGGTTAAACACTCCAAATCAAGGATAATGGCTTCTTTATCATCCAAGCTGTTACCTAAAAAGATTCCATAATGTATTATGAACAGTAACTACCCTAAGTAGAGATATTTTTAAATACACATCAGGCAGAGAACTGAAATAGAACCACCTTGAAGCTTTTGGTAATTTGATCATATTATTGCCTAATAATTAGCCTTTCATTCTTTTTGAAAAACTAAATTACCTAGCTGTGAAGCAAATTCAAATAAGTCTCATATGTACATTAATATCTTGATGTAAAAAAGTAACATCTATATTAATATTTCTATGAAAAAGTACATATATGTTGATGACTATCTTCTAAGTCAGGGTTGGGAAAAAACCTTTAAGGACATAATGACCTGGGCAATTCCTTTTCTTTGTTTATACAGTTTGTTTTTTAATTTTTAAAGAAAACAGGGTAGTTTTCTCCAAACTTAAGCTGTCCTTGGTTCCACCAATGGTAGTGGCTTTT